AAAGCTATTAGCTAGTATTTCTTTTACTTTTAGCTTCTTAGTTTCTATTAATTTAACATGGACATTAATTGTCTGTTCATGTGGTGATGCAAATGTTAACAATTCTAAATTTTGGTATTATCTAATGATAAAAAAATAAAAAAAAAGAGAAAAGAAACACATAGTGTCACTACAGCAAGGGCGAGCTCAATGCTTTTTGCTTTTAAATATAAATTAAACATACCATTATTGTTTAGTTTAAATATTTTTATAAGTCCATGTTTGCTCAACGAAGCAGCTTACCATATTAAAAAAACCAAACCAAACAAAAAAAACCAAAAAAAACCAAATCTGCCTTTATGATGTTTCATGTTCAGTTCTACTTCATGTTAGCAGCGAGCGAAAATTGGAGAACACCACAAACTGAAACAGAAAGTTTATCAGGAGAAAACAAAGAAAAACAACACAAGTGAAACTTGCCAGGGTACTTGTCTTCAGAGGCTTGATATCAAAGGCTGCTTAGCATTTTGATTTATTAATGATGGGATTAGTCAAATTTCTCTCATCAAATGTCCAAAAACACAAACAGAGTTAAATATGCACAAACACCTTCTTCTTTCTCTTTTATCTTGCCAATCAATCAGACGTCAGTAGGAAATGTACATCTGACATCCTGTCAGTCAGAACAGTGTTTTTCTGTTGACTACTAATCCTACATTTACATATGAACTCGATCAAAACAGGTCAACAGAAAAAGTTTCATAAAACTTTTTCTTTGTTGCTGTGAACAAAAATGTTAATTTAAATTCTTTGATCTATAAATGTTAAACAAAGATGGCAAACAAAAAAAGAAAAAAGGAAAACACAAATTCTGCAAAATCTGTCAAATACCCAAAAAGTTGAAAACAAAGTTTTTCTTTTTGAGAAAAAAAGGCACCATTGACTAACAAAGCTAAACTGTAAACCAGGCCTTATCTTTGAAGGCAGTGATAAGGCTTTCTAATAAATGAAAAGGCTGTGCTTCTGTCGTGGCCTCTAAACATCAACAAAGAGTAAAAGTATAAATTTAGGTATTCTTTGATGTTATCATAGCTAACTAATAACCTAGCTAATTTAAATATAAGACCACCACACTTTGTTGTTAGGTTGCCAAAGTTACCTTTTAATCTTGTTTTTTAAAGATTTTTCTCTACATTTGAATATTTCCTATCGAACCTTAGAAACAAATAAACAAACTATGATAGCAACACAAGAATAAATGTGTATAGAATTCGCTAACATTGAGACTGTGCTTTTTAGGGTAACCAATGATACTGAACTGATACTACTGGTGTTCTGTTATTGTGCTACTTGACTGAAGTACAGCCTTTGGTACAATAGACCATAAAATCTCGATGAAGATGCTTCAGTACTGGGTTTCTATATCTGGGATGGCTTACCAGTTAGAATGTTTTGCTTCTATTAGTGATGTCATTTTTTTTAATATATGTGTCCGCATTTTATAGAAAAATAACATTTCATGCCATTGCTATACTGATGACACATGGCTCTATTTCACAATCCACACCTTCAACAAACCTCTCCAACCTTGCAAACTGTCTACTGATATTAATGAGTGGATGTTTGTTATTTCTTTAAAATTAAACTCATATAAAACAAAAGTTCTGTGCAGTAGTTCAGAAATGCATCAAGCCTCTGTTGAACCTGTTTGCTCATGTAAAATATGCTTGTAAAATCTTGAGGGCACAATCAACACACAGGTGAGGGTACATGTTTTCATTCATTCATTTACAGCAGGGGTGGGCAACTCCAGGCCTTAAGTGCTGGTGTACTGCAGGTTTTAGATATCACCCTGGGTCAACACAGCTAAATCAAATGATTAGGTCATTACCAGGCCTCTGGAGAACTTCAAGACATGTTGAGGAGGTAATTTAGCCATTTAAATCAGCTGTGTTAGATCAAGGACACATCTAAAACCTGCAGGACACCAGCCCTTGCAGCCTAGCCCCAGATTATATACTCAAACTGCGGTTCCCATACCAAGCAGTGAACAGCCACAGACTCTCGGGCAGATCCTCAGCCACCTGTTAACTGTCCCGTGTTCAGGCTCAAAGAGAAAAGGTGATTAGTGTTTACTATCAGAGCTCCTGGGTTGTGAAATTAAACTGCAAGCTCACCTCATTAGTGCCTTCCTTTAAATGATTGGTAAAGACTCATTTGTATCAGGGCTTTTTCATAAATGTCATTATAAATGCATTTCTTTGCATTCCACCAATCCACTAATAGAAATAATGAGAACAACATATATCC